GTCCCCTCGCTGTTTTCCATACCCCAGTGCTGGAATACGAAGCGCGAGTTGCTGTTACGTGGAGGAGGGGATGAGAAGTTTGCAGAAACAGGGAGGTGAGACCTCTGCCTGGCACTGAGACTGGAGCAAAGTGAAGTTTTTGCACCAAAGCTGCTTTTTTAGAGAAAAATCCAAGTGTGGTGGCATGGAGACACTTCACAAACATGTTTTGCTGGATTCTTGGGGGGGGTTCGTTGTTTTTTCAGTATCAAAACTCAGGAGAAACTTTTCAGTTAGAAAATAGCAAAACTTTTTGAGAGGTGTGAAATAAAAAATCCTGTTTGTTTCCAGCTTTTCCTTTCTTTGCAGCTGAAGGCATTTAAGACAGCTCGGAAATGAGGGATTTTGTTCTTGTTTCATCCGTTCCGTGCTGACCAAAGTGCTGGTTGGTGGCCCTGGTTATCACAGAATAGAATCCTGGAATGGGTTGGGTTGGAAGGGACCTCAAAGACCATCCAATCCCAACCCCCCTGCCATGGGCAGGGACCCCCTCCACTACACCAGGTTGCTCCAAGCCTCATCCAACCTGGCCTGGAACACTGCCAGGGATGGGGCAGGCACTTTGAACTTGCCCTTGCCCCAGGTTCCCAGTGGTCCAAATTTCTTTGCCTATGCCTCAGCTCACGCCAAGCCTAAGCCAACCTGATCTCCAGATGAGTTTGGCTCAAAGTCTGTGAAGGTCTGAGATCTCCTCCTGCAGACCATGGGTCAGAGGGAGGTTTCAGCTCCGGCTCCAGCTCCAGCTCCGGCCCCAGCTCCCGTTCTGGTTCTGGGAGTCCCTGTAGGATTTAAGGTACTTCATCAGGACACGGACACAGCCTGACCTGCTCAGAATTACATCCCTTGAGTGCTTCTCTGCCCAGGAGCCTCTCTCCAGTATTTCCCACCCTCCCCTTGTCCCATACAGTGAATTTTAAGGTGCTGGGAATGGGGCTGGGAATGAGTGAGTCCCTCTACAGCGGGTGACTCGGATCTTGCTGCCCACCTGGGCCACCAGACCCTGAGAGAGCTTTGTAGGGAAGAGAGGAGAGCGGAGTCATGGCCCTTACGGGAAACCTGGGCAGTCCCCTGGCCCCATCCTTTCCAGAGGGGTAAATTCTCCCGTCGAGCAGATCCCTTTCCCAGATAATAGTGCTGTAATTATCTTCAGAGCCAAGAAAAACCACATGTCCTAATTAAACTCAATTCATCTTCTAAGCAGCAGTTTCACACTTAATATCCAGAGGCAAAATTATGGTGGTGCGGGGGGG